GATGACGGAAAACAAGATGAGCTACCACAGGAAAGCGGTAGCCAATGTTCTTATCCACTCGCAAGTATAATCATTCTGTAAGATGATCAATAACATTGTCACTATTTGTAAGTTGGGAATAACATACATGATAGACAATCTATTCCATCATTAATATCTAGAAATGGAAACATTGCAGGAATCAAATTACTTACGTTTAAACTATGTTCTTGTATCTCATTATAAAATCATTCGATTGAGTTTCAATTATGATAGACGGTTCAACAATATTATCACTTTCCACTGGAGTTGGTAACTGATCTTCATCTTCTATACCATTTTCTTTAACTATTTTCCAAAGATCAAAACTTGAGCGTGATTGTTGCCCAAACATTGCTTCATAAGGTGTTGTTTTTGTTGTTAAAGTCTATTTTGAGCTCAATTTTTTACTGAAAACCATCCAAGATCAGGTACATATTCAGTATAAATTTCACTAAGATTGAGTGCTCTGGGAAAAAAATAGATTTTTGACGGAGGGGGGCTTAAAAGCATCTTATTTAGTAACATCATCGTCACCATCACCACAACATGCAGATGTAAGACGTAAAGCGACAGATAATTATTTAGAAACAGCTAATAAACAAAGAAAACTATATGATGAACACCTATCTAGATTAGCTGAATAATATAAGAAAAGAGATTGTGTCGGTGTTAAAATTCATGATGTTGCCGAACGAATACTGATCCAAAAATCTTACCTTGTTTAATTCTTTCAAAAGAACAATAAGGTGAAGATATTATTTTTTATTTAGCATGTCAATTTGGTTTATTTTCAACTACGTTCACCATTGAAAGTCTTGTTGATCTAAGAACACCTTGTCCTGATGATTTAAAAAATTTAGATGTGTTTGAACTTAAAGATGAAATTACTTTGATAGACGCATCGAAACTGTTTGTTCGTGGAGCGACGTGTGATTGTAAAATGAAATGTGCGACAAAACACTGTCCATGTAAAAAAAGCAGGAGTCGCATGTTCAACAAAATGTCATTCAAAAAGAGGTGCATGTGAGAATACAAAATAATATCCAAAAATGAATCCTTTCATCTTTCTTGTTCTCGTCTTGCTATATAGTCCAGAGGTTTACTTGTATTCTTTTTCTACTCGCTGTTAGTATTGTTTATTGTTCTATAATAAGGAACTAACTAAGAAAATGTAAATAGTTAATTGTCTTTCTAAGAGCTTGTTTCTTTTGATAAAGTCTAGAATGAAGTATTGAAACCACTTTTTTTAGGACAGAACTCTGATCAAATACTGTACATAGCTTTATTTTCATTTTGCTCTTGCTCTTTATTTGTTTTATTTAAGGTTGATCAATGTTTTGTACATATTAACTAATGAAGAGAGATGGAAAACAAAAAACAAAATCTCTCACCTTTACGCGGTTAAGTAGATAAGTATCGGCTATAAACTACAGAATATAGGAAAAAATCATCCTAGGAAACACATCTGTAGCCTATAGCCGAGAAACCAAGAGCGTGATAATACCACATTTAAATTTAGTTTTAATTGATACGCCACTTCTTGACTGGTTATATCTCACATTTGACTAATCTCAGTTTTGGCTAGCCAGAAGTGGAATCCTAGTTTTGACTAGGCAAATCTAAGATTTGACTGAATTCCAGTTTTGGCTACAACGTATACTTCACTATATCGGATTAGTTTTGTAGTATTTTATTGTAGATGGTGAAGATTTAGCTAATGAAGAAAAATTCAAAATATCAATTAATGAAAAAGTCATCGAAGAACGACCAAAAAATACGATGGAAGTAGAACAAACAACATATTATGTTTGTATTTTTCATAATGGTTCGAATCGTTTCATTTGATTTTCTTTTCTAGAAACAATTTGTTCAAAACATATACCAGATATTAGAACATATGGCATGTTTCGTAATTATGATGATTCGCAAAAATTTCTTGAACTGAGATTCTAGTTCTGACTAGTCAGAAGTGAATCTTAGTTTTGGCTAGGCAAATCTAAGATTTGACTGAATTCCAGTTTTGGCTACAACATATATTCTACTTACAACCATCATTTTCGAATTGGAAATTATATAAAGTAGCAGATTTTTGATCAACAAAAGGCGACTATGACTTTCATGGTAATTTTTGACCCCAGAACGGGATATATGTAGGTTTGTACAGGAAGACTTCCTCTATCTAGTAGTGTATATATTATCAAATTCTGTTGCGTACCGTGAGAGAAAATTAAAGGTAACCCCTCTCTTTCTACACTTTTTTAGAAATATTTTTTATTTTTGAGTTAAATGTTCTGCATTATAGAGTAAAGTGTCCTCTACAAAACAAGACCACTTCCAGCTCTCTACGACCTTTCGTTGAGGAGATACAAATTTTTTAAAGTTTGTTACTTTATTCTGAAAAAACCCTACTTTCTTACTTTCGAAACTCTTTCTTCTTTCGTTCAGTACTTGATAAACTTTTGAAACAGTCAGTCTGGTAGAGTAAAGATTTCCCCACAAAATTAGATGTATCCTAACTTTTCACCGTGTTTTCTGCTAGAGTTATGATCATTTTGTTGGAAGTCTTTGAAAAAGTCACATTTGTGAGATACCGTCCAAAATGATCATAACTCTATCAAAAAACATAATGGAGAGCTGGGAGACATCTCATTTTGTAGAGAAACCTTTACTTTATAAGCCTGACTGTTTCAAAAGTTTATCAACTACTGAATGGAAGAGAAAAACGTTTCGCAAGTAAAAAAGTAGGTTTTTTTCAGCGTAAAGTAACAAACTTTAAAAAATTTGTATCTCCTCAACGGAAGGTCTTGGAAAGCTGGAAGCGGTCTTACTTTGTAGAGGACACTTTACTCTATAATGCAGAACATTTAACTCAAAAATAAAAAATATTTCTAAAAGAGTCTAAAAAAAGAGGGGTTACCTTTAATTTTCTCTCACGGTACGCAACAGAATTTGATAATATATACACTACTAGATAGCGGAAATCTTCCTCTACAAACCTACATATATCCCGTTTTGTGGTCAAAACATCATAGTCGCCTTTGAAATAATCTCAAGTTTTTCACATTGATTTTCATAAGTGTTTAACATGAACGGAAGAAACATACAACGGAATCAATGAATATGTACAGCAAGTCGGGCAGACCCATTATGTGCCGGTTTCTCGAATAAAACAGAAAATTAAAAAGTAAAATGAAATACATGCATCTATTCAAATCACCACTGTATTCTAAGTGTATTTTCAAAAGCCAGTGTTCAAATTTATTTTGAATGGACAACTATTGATTACAATTCTTTTGCAGTGTATTTAAGGCAAGGAAAAACTGCCGAAAAAAAACGTCTAAGGTTGTAGCAACAGCAGCATTGATCGTTAAATCATTTGGACAAAGTATCGGATGTTGTGTTTCTCGCCATTTTATATGAAAGAGTTAAATAAATTTCACTATTTGTCGTCACTTTATATTAGTGATAACACGTTTTCTTCTTTTCTTTTCTTAGATCGCTATATCAGTCGGCCCTCTTATCTGCACGATATTTTATTATATAACTGTATTTTCAAATACTTGATATGCAAATATTAAAGACGCGATCTATAGACAACGAATAAGACGATTATACAATGTAAATTATATTTCACTACCAATACTAAGAAGGTTTAAGAATGCTCGTTCTAATTGCAGTAACTGATCGTTGTATGCACGAATTATATAAGGACTGAAACATTAAATACTTATTTACTTGCTTATTATTACTGTGCTTATTATATTATTATATTACTATGCTTATTATTTCACTTAGTATAGTCAGAAGACATAACGTTTATCCTGCTAATTTACTTGGACTGGAATAGATTGTCTATCACGTATGTTATTCCCAACTTACAAATAGTGACAATGTTATTGATCATCTTACAGAATGATTATACTTGCGAGTGGATAAGAACATTGGCTACCGCTTTCCTGTGGTAGCTCATCTTGTTTTCCGTCATC